AATAATTATTGTATAATGTAGGCGAAAGTTATAAAAACAAAAACAAAAGAAATGTTGTGTATAAAAAACAAAAAAAAAAAGAGGAGAAAAACACGTTTAAATTTCAGTGTATCGTAACACATTCAAATCGGGCGTTACTTTTTGCGGCGACTGTACATGAAATGAATCAAAAACTAAAAGGGAATATGGATTACTGAAAGGCCAAACATTTTCGATCTATCAAGCATTTTGTTTCATTAATCCAACCGTTCTCATTTGCATAAATAAATATACCATTCGGAAAGCTTTCTCAGAGTAATTTTTTAATTTAAAAATACAATTTGGTTCCATCAGCCATGCATCCAAGGATAACAGTAAAATTTGTTTTCTCATTGCCTGTGGTACGGATACCAACTGTGCAAGCTCCACATTTGGATTCGGTAAATCAAAGGTAAAAGGTGTCTTATCCATATTTCCAATCAAGTGTAAAGAGTAATTGTACGTATTGAATATCGATCTAAGATAGAATTAAGAAAAGATTGAATATCTGGAAGCTTTTGAAAATTAATACTTCGAGTGAGTGAAGATACCTTGGTAGCCACCAATTCCCTAGTAATAGGATTTTGTAATTGCCGTTGTTCAGTAACCCAATCAAATAAGTATTTTTCTGATTGCGGATACTTGGGTGATTTTTTATTATATAATTTAAGGGACTTTGAGGAAGCTTTAATTAACTCATCTTTTTTACTTTGTTTATGATAATTAATTTTCTCGGGCATGCCAGTTTCTTCATAATCTTTTTGCTATACACACTTTTAAAACACTTTTATTAATAGTTATGACCATTTTAAATCAATAAATTTTGTTCAGACGAACATTCAAGGATTTATCTCTTTAACAATAAAACTCAAACATAACAAAAAGCTAAAGTATTAATGATACATTGTAATTGTCATATTAGAAGAGGTAAAAAAGTATCATTGTCAGCCAATTTATTTTTTTCTCTTTGCTTTAAATTTATTTCACCTAATTTAAAATTGTGAACAAATGCAATATTCAATTTAATTAACTCACAAATGGTAATTGTTAACATTAACGTTAAAGAACCAATAATAGCGATAGAAATATGCATCATTGATATATCTGTAAAGTATTTTACAGGGGAGTACTACCGCTACGTATAAACCGCGATTTACGGTAATGAATCAAATCAACAATAATTTACTTTGCGCCAAAATGTTCTGAGATATTATGTAAAGATAAAGAAAATCTTCAAATTGATAATAATTCACGTAAAAATCTCAATTTTATATACAAAATTGACCAACTTTATTATAATAATGCAAAAATATATTATAAATTGACAACAGAGATTAGAATGTGTAATTTTACAATTTTTCGAAAAAAAGGATACTGTGATTATATTATATTAATTTCTGGTTAATGCATGTATGTTTTGAAATGTATTACGTACGTATAATCCGGTATGTACATGTAATGCTTCATGAAAGTCATGGCGATTAATAAAAGTTGCTGCACATTCGGAACAGCCAACGTTACCCTCGTCACCTGATGGTGATTCTGACTGTTGTTGCTGTAATTATTCCATGGAATATATAAAGATAAAATCTAAAATAAAATTATCAATAAGGAATAACAGCAACGTACCTGCAAAATAACTTCGATCAACATCCAATATGAAACCTGGCAGAATCTCATCTGGTGTCCATGTTTCTCCAAACATGTTCATAATGGCGCACAGAATTGGCTGGGTACTACCTTCATGAATGAATTCGTTGATTCTCCTGGGTCGACCAAAATCCCAGCTCCACAGATGTTCCCGCCGCGAAGAAATCATATCTGAATTTATCATCTGCCTTTTCGAAAGCCGATTGACTTGCCACGTTCCCAGCTTCCACAATAGACTTTTCGGAGAAATAATCTATAATATTTTGAATTTGAGTATCGGTTAATTTTGGAATATTATATGCACTATACTTATTTTACTAAACAGCCTATAAACCTTTCTGGCTTTACGCAGATTAACCATTCATTGCTGTTTTATCAACAACTTAAGAGTTAATTTTAAATTTTTCAACTCTTTTTTCATGCTTTTCCCATACAGATACCAGCATAGAATCTCTTTTAGATTCTCTCGGATTGCTTTTTGTATAATCGCGCAAACTTTTTACTGTAATTGTGGGGGTAATTGATTTCAAGGGAATCCGAGCTTGTAAGTTTGGTTTCCTTGCGATTCTGCTTTCATTAATTTCCACGTCAATAACTTCTTTCTTGTATAAAATCTTGTACTACGTACCCTACGTAATCATATGTAAATGGAGTTTACAAGATTATCGTTATAAACACATTACACAATGTATCGCATGTGGTTATTACATTTAGCGTTAGCATGGGAATTGTAATGATCGATAACGATAATCTCATGTAGCACTCAGACAAGCGTGATTAATTGGTTTCAAGTTACGTATACTATAAATCAGCATTCTTTGAAAAATGACTTCTATATTTACTTGTTGTTTTGAACCCATGTATTAGAATAATTCAGACGACAATAAAGAAAAAAATTTTCGATAACATCGAATAAAAGCGTTGAATCTTCAACACCAACCGAAGAATTTCACGTACAGCCACTAGCGAAACTCGCGCGAAATACTTTTATGCCAGTCGGATACGAAATTGCCGGAGAAATTTAGAAGTTGAAGACTTGATTGCAGTTAGTCGAACCTACAAAGCTGCGCATTATTTCATTAATTCATCACAAAATCTATGGAAAAACATGTATCGAACATTAACACCCAAAAATACCGATCAAATTATGACGCCATTAATTATGATTCAACCGATGGTAAAGCTCAACTAAAACCTGCAGTTGCATGGAAACGACAAGTTTTCAACAGACTGCGATATCGACCGTTTTACATTGCATACTCCTATTTGGATGATCAAGACTTTACATTAACGTTAATGTTTCATGGAGCCTTTTATGACTATCCGACAACATATCAAGAAGCTATTGATTATGGTTTCTTCTTTTATGGTGCTCCTGGTTCGCCGACAGTTGCAAAATATGTTGAACATAAAGGACAATCATTCGATGAACTACAAGAGGGATTCGATAATTGACGAATAGAGTCGAATCGATAAAGCCGGACTTTAAGTATCCTTTAGAAACTGTCGGCGGTGATAAATTATATCTCGTATATACCTATTTAGATATCCAAGAAGGATTTCAATTCACGTTTGACAAGCTATTTGACGATGAAAGAACCGCGATCGAATATGCTGCAAAATTGGCGGAACCAGAAGACGTATCAAGAACCACATACGTTGACCATAATGGCGAGAAATTTGATTCAAAGCATCGAGATGTTATTAACGCAAGAGTAGCAGTTGATGTGCTGCCAGTTTGGCGAAAACGAGATTCGACGATTTGACGAAACGGAAACTATCTATAGTCGATGACGATGAACGTTGAAGGAAAACTTGACGATTTTACTCAAATCCGGCGAGGATATGGAAAACTTGATCGTAATGCTACATTTCAGGAGTTGCTGCAAAGTATTCTTGACTATCGGGATACAGGAAACTCAAGAGAACGAACACTTGAAGCGATGGATGAAATGAGCATAAAGGGATATGTAAAAAAGAAAAAATTCATGAATAATCTTCATTATAGACTATTTCGGAGATACTTCCACTAGTAACCCCATAAACAATTTATCGTTATAGACTAATTCTCCTATTAAACATTACCATAAACACCCAGTAGCGTTGGGGGATGCTCAAAATAGTTATTAATGAGCACTAATAACGCGAGACTTTTATAACAGAACTGTAAAATTAGAATCGACAAATGAATGTTCTCAAAAAAAAGTATTTTTATATTTTCTTCACTGCCTGCGTGATAAAAATGCGTTATTGTTTATTTGTTCAATTATTCGTCGTCGATAAAAATTCCGGGAATGAAGCTAACGCTAACGATTATGTCCGTAATGTTAATTTTTTGCGATATTCGGCAATATATTTTGGATCAGCTGCAAAATACACAAATCGAGATGGTAACAGTAACTTTCTCTTGTTTAAAAAAGAAAGTGCATGTACATTCATCGTTATCGTTATTGTAAATCAGCAGAATTATGCAGAGTAGTTTAGCTATTTCACGTATAGATAAAATACGGGCAATCGCTCGTTTATGTCATCGTATATTTTCCTAAATACATAAAAACAATATTTACATGTAATTGTCGCTGAAATCAGCCGTTACAACAATTGAAAGATGAAATCATTTGTGTTAAGAGAAAAAATCCGTGAGTTAAAATGGAACTCGAGGTTTTACGTATTCGGTTCAGTACAGCAGTTTGCATCATAAAACAAATCGATAGATGTAAACGTAAATGGACATTAAAAAGATTTCTTACATTTGCTAGGCTTGCTTGCCAAACAATAATTGTGGCGGATTAAAATGAAATTAGCGTTAGATTAAAATTTTGCTTTGATTTGATTTTATTATAATCTGATTACATTTTAATCTGGTTTCGTTTTAATCTGTCACAATAATTAATTACATTTTAATATTTATATTCTTTGATGCTGGCTGGTACTATGCTTCTCAAGAAACTCTTTTATTTTTTTTGAGTTGATTGACTTGTCGACTGCTGCTACCCTATATGAACATTTGCGGATTAACTGAACAAGTTTTAAAGTTTCAAGATAACATTTTAAACCGAATATACCTATTAACGGCAAACAAAATCGGTCTAAATAGATAATAACACAAACATTACAAATCACATAAAATAATTTAAAACCTACCAAGAGTCAAGCGACTCATAAGAATGCATAATCAATAATAATGGACATTTTAACGTCAAAGCAATAGCCACGATCCTAATCATCGAGAAATCGGAACCACAATTAACTTCTTCATCGCAGTGATCGGTGTCTAGCGTGCCAACAATAGAAGCTACTATTGCGAGTGCATTTATGACCATTGATAATATATCGACACAACTCGCAAGATATTTATTTGCTAGATAGTCGTTGTAATGTGGGATATCCTCTTTTGCTATTTTTTCGTTTTATTAGTCACTTAAATGTTTAAGTTTGTGCTTAAATTAAATATTCAAAAAAATACGCTTACCTATAAACAGTGTGCAAACAATCAAAAGCTTTCGAAATAACGTCGGTTGTGATAACATTGCGCCAAAAATCACAAAAATTGCTCTTTGAAATAATTCGAAACTAAGGAAAAGACTCAACAATATCCTAACCAATAACTAGGATATCAAGAATTACTAAATAAAAAAAAATTACTTGTTGAAAAATAACAGAAATACAACTTACACTATATTTTCTTATTGAATTCGCAATAAGAATTATAATTTTGAATAACAAATACGAAGACAAATAGCTCGTCGTGAACAGCATTAAACCCAGTATAATTTTTTTCCGGTTCGATGGTGAATGTTGTTGTGATGTTTCTGTATTTCTTCTTGGAAAAGATTCTCGAATATCCGTGTCATATTCTTCAATACGTATTGCCAACACATCAACAGAGTCATTATGATTTTTACTCAGTGACAAAATTTCCGATTCTTTCATAGTAGCAATAATAAAGAACAGAAAAAAATGACTCTTATAAAGCTTTTAGTCGCTATAAAAAAGAACTACCACACATGTAAGTTAATAATAACGATAAATACCGATACATGTATGTACGTACGTATTCGGTTTGCAATTTCCTTTTTCTATTTATGGTACATGTAATTTGTTTGACAATTGAAGTACATGTATAAATTGAAATTAAGTGTCTGAAAATTATTACCATTACGTAATTACTATCGCTATCACTATCGTTATCACTATCGCTATATATGTATTAAACATCAACATTATAAGTTAATATTTGATCAATGTCCTAGTTACCACTTCATATTTTATACGATTTCGATAAATTGACATATCCAAATTATCAAAGTCAAATTCTCGCTGTTCGCTTATATAGTCAGCAAACAACATTGTATACACGCCGCAGTCATAACCATTCGGCTGTTGCGGTATTTCACTAGGAAACAGGTCGACCGTCCATTCGTCCCGGTCTGGCTGTTGTTTTTTTAGGACATGGTATCCTTGTATGAACTCTAACAGATTCTGAAATCACATAACAGATCAGATAAGTCAGCTCGTTGGTTTATCGTTTAATCATGCCATGGAAAAATTAACTTACCGGTCCAATGGATTGGGTCCCACCGCTTCCAAATCGTGCACCGGAATCGTACACACTTATTGTTTTTTCATTTATGTTGATCACGGCGCATACCCAGTGGTTACCGAGATGCACAGGGACTAAGAGTTTGTCTTTTTTGAATATATCTGGGACCTATATATTTCATAATTTACAAGAATTATCATTGAAAGAAATCCTTATGTAAATGGAATATTTTTAAAAGCAGCACATTGAGACGAAAATAATTACATTGTTATTACTGAGCCATTTTTCTAGTTTCTTGAAATTTCCGCTCTTCCTCGCTTTCTCAACCAGTGTATAGAAATATGTATTGGTCATAAACACGTCTTGTTGATTTACATCCCCGGCAGAGCGTCGTTCTAGAACACGAGCATTTAAAAGTCTCGCATACATACTGATAATCTGTTTTGTAACATATAACTTGGTAATTAATACACAATAAGTAACAAAAAAATAGCAAACAAAAAAAACTCACTTCTCCATTGATATATCGCTTGGGTTGTAAAGTATCTAAATCTTTCTCCTCGACGATTGTAGGTCCCATTTGCGAAACAACTTTGCTTGCTTTTTTTGCTTCATCAATTATTTCTCTGATCCTTGATTTTTGTTCTTCGATAAGATCACTAAAGAACCTCGATTTAGATTCCGCGTCAGGTATTAATTCATCTTCTGATTCGTCAGATGCTGAATAGTCCCGTGTGCTTGATATATCGGATGCATTAAGCTCGTGCAAGGAATCTTTATCGATATGTCCCGATTCTTCTGATTGTTCGAAAAGCTACAAGGATAATATTTAATTTTTGCAATATTCAAAACGGTGACATAAAAATTTATTTTAGCTGTTACCTTGTTAGATACTTCTGTCAGATCATCATTTATGAATTGATTTTCTTTGCTTTCAGCGGGTAAATTTTCAATAGGTGAAGATGGTCCAGAGAGAGGATAAGGAAGAGGATATTTTTTTTTACCGGGCGATGGAGATACAAGACTGAAACCAAGATTAAACCCAATATGGTGACGCGACCTTAAAGAAGTGAGACCAAGATGTCGTCGTTGATGTGAATCTTTAGGTGTAGGAGTATAGGGTGTTTTTGAGGGACTCGATTCTTGTGAAGATGGATAATAAAAGCGAATATTCTCATTCCTTTTTATGAAAGCAGGAGTTGGTTGCTGATCTTTCCTAGGAGTGACTTGAGCTGAATGTGGATGTAATGATTGTAGATTCTCTCGTGGAAATGAGGTACGAGGAAGGAAAGGGGTAGCGTTGACTTTTAACTTTGGACGAGGCTCAAATATTGACGAAGATTTTCCATTTTCCTTCTTTGATGGACTATATGAAGCGAAAGATGAGGGGGAATTTTTTTCACCCTTCACCGTTTCTGTTGGAATAGGCGGTGGATGAGAATCAAAGGTGACGCGTTTCCGCTTATTGGAACCATTCATTAAAATTGTTGATGCTGAGGTAGTCGATCTCTGTGTTTTCCATGATGCCTCTGGTTCAGCATACTCTTTATCTTTTGCTATTGATAACTTGTCAAATCCAAAAGCTAATTCTCGTTCGACTACACCTTATTAAAATCGTTTGCTTACTACATGTATTAAATAATAAATTTGATTCCAAAATCATAATTATTATCACTATACCATCACCGAAAATTATCGGAAGGAAATTTTCCTCACGCGGAATTCCCATAATCGCATTATTCAGTCCTATCCGAAATGAATAGCGTATTAACATTACATTCTAAATCGAGCACAATATTATCCCGGATTTACCTGATCGCTTTTTAGCTTGGTTAGCTTCCGACAATTTTTTGGGAAGTTCTTTAACTTGCACTGCTTTTTTCTTGTAATGCTAAACAGAATTGATCCAATCGGATGCATGAAACGATGCTGTAAAAATACGAAACAAACAAACAAAATTAACATACTAATTGCTTGACCATAGGAAACGGCCCTCGCTTCTGCATAGCACCACGTTGATTTATATGTCGTCGTACTCCCTCTGGACCAGTAATAATAGTAGCTAGTCTTCGTGATTGAAATTCATTATTTTTTTCTTGTGGTAATAATTCCAGGTCATCAGGAAATTTTGGTAATTTGCTGTGGTGAATCATTATTGTTGGTTTGTGGTTGTGTTTATGTTTTTGCTTGGTACGGTTAAAAAGGGAAAACAGCAATTTAAGAATATTAAGAATACAGGTGATACATTAAGATTGTTTGGCTTTTGAGAATACGTATATGTCAATATAAAAAATATAAAAAATAAATGAGAAGTAGCGGTAGGGGTTCTATGTTGTGTGTTTGTTGATAAAAGGGAAAAACTGATTAATACATGTGCATCAATGATCAGATTTGGTGACAGTTGAATTCTCAGTTTACGAAACACGTGTACGAAATTACGTATTGTTATCGATATGTCATCCGATTTACATATACATGTATTTCCCATTTAGAATGTGCAGAAACATCTACATAGAAGTAATGACTGCAGGTCGCAAACTTAACGTTATAAAAAAACCGGGGGTACTATTTCAGGGGGTAGGTACTATATGCAGCGTTATACGGTGAGGGTGATATAAAAAGGATTCAGGAATTGAATTCGAGATTCCACAAACATATTGTAATTTCATTAAATGATATAATGACTTCATCAAACGAGCAACAGCAACAAAATGAAGAACGACAAATAAATGTCGAGCTCGGTTGTTTATCAACAGTTTCTCCACCGCTTCAATATAACGAACAACAAGAACATCTACCACCAAATCAACATGAAGAGCAACAAAATGGCAACGCCGTCGACACACTCGTAATGACGATTCCACCGCCAACATACGCGTGCACAGATTGTATATTCAATGCAGACGCTGATACTCTCGAAACATCCCCGCCAGCATATCACACATTATTCTCGCTTTTCCATTCTCCCATCACTGCAATAGACATCAACAATAGCAATAGTATCAACCCCAATGTAAATACTATATTTCACATGATTTGGTGTTATCATTGTAGAAAACAAGTACCAATTAGAATCCGAAAAGACTCTTTTTTGATACGATTTTGTGTTATATTTATGTTAGTTGTATTTCTTGGTCCATTTTTTTGGATACCGTTGCGTTATTTTCATACTACTTCTATTTACTGCTCAAAGTGTCAACAATGGATTCGTCATTTTGAGAAGGAGGATGAAATTGAACAGCAGCGAATACAGAGGCAGATGGAGGAACAGCAACGACAGCAAATGTTGCAACAACATGAGCAAGTTCAGATACAGGTACAATAATTAATTGAGTGGATATATGAAGATTAAAGTTTGGGAAAAATGAGGATATATACATCATTATTACATGTATTTACTATCGTTCTAATCCCTAATTCACCTATAAAAATGTAATAAGCAAAGGTGAGCAAGGATAAAAATTTCCGATTGGTAATAAAATTTCTGATTATGTTGAATGTCATTACGGTTTGTTATACACGTACATAAATTATCTGAGTTGTACGAGTTATGTCATGTATGATAAAGATAATGATAACGACAACGACAACGACAACGACAACGATATCAATAAGGGATGAAAGCGAGTGACCATTCATTGTTATATTCTTATATTCTTCAGAGTTTTCGACTAACCACACTAAATGTAGTGAGATATAAAAAATTATTTAAAAATATTTTTTGTAAGCAGATGTAAAAAAATTTTATAGAAATATATTTTAAAACATAAAAAATATATCTGTAATTAAAAAAATTTTTTAGTTAATATTTATTGAATAAATACCAGTCAAAAAAAGGCTTATTTTTGATAAATTTCATACAGTAAAATATAATATTTTATTATATTTTATTATGAAATTTATCAAATTAAGTCTTTTTTAATTAGTATTTATTCAATAAATATCAACTAAAATTACAAATATATTTTTTATATTTTTAAATATATTTTTATAACTTTTTTTATACTTGCTTATAAAAAATATTTTTAAATAATTTTTTATAGCACTTTAACTAGAATAATACCCAGCTTATCATATTAAGCATGTGATTTCACAAAATATTACTATTTTAACTAAAGAAATACTTGTTTTGATTTGTATAATTCAAATAATTTCAGAAAACAATTTCAATTATTAATAAAGTAAGTTAAAATAATTTCAGATTTAATTTTAGTAAGTTAATTTTAGCAAATTATTTAATTAGATAATGTCATTTCAGCAATTATTCTTAATTTTAATATAC